TATATATATATATATATATATATATATATATATATATATATATATATATATATATATATATATATATCTTCCAAACTCCACCATTATCTAAATTAACCAGTGCATCATTGCCAGAACACAACATGGATGGGGTTCGCATGAAGATGAAGTCCCCGCTGCGCTCCAAATATCAATCACAGGGACGCCAGTGCGCGTCGATCCTTTCATCTCTGTAAAGGTGGGGGTTTGCGCTCTTGCTGACATCCTGAATGTAGGAGCGCGCCTTCATCGTGCGCGTGTATGCAAAGCACGCCAGAGACCAACAGCACAGCACTTCCTATCGATAACATTTCAGCAGGATTTGCGTATTGGCAGGGTACGAATTACGGAGGGCGATCCGATTCAGCTAATTAAACATTGAACACCCCAAATGAGGTCAAAACAAAACGGTGGAGGGTCTTAAAGGTACATAATCATTTCAACAATTCACCAGTTTCAACATTCATTTAAAAAATCATTTCATTCCTTATTTTGAATATAATGCAACAATAGGCGACTGTTATGATCAGGGCACACATAGACTTCCAGTGTAGATACCAGGGTTTTTTTCTCCAGAAACTTTAGTTAGTGTTTCGTCTGATCCAAAAGGAGGTTGCTTGGACATGAACGTGTGCCGTTGCTTAAAAAAGACCTCTCTCAAAGTCATTGCGTTGAACAGGCTACAGGTTGTATACAGATAAGACTGACTGTCAAGACACCATCACCAATCATTTGCAAACACTTTATATAAATAACGCACTTAATGTACCAAATGTACTTGATGCGTTTTCATTTTAGATAAAAAACGGCTACACATGTCGCTCCCACACCCCTCCTCTAAACGGTGGGCATGTATCGGTGACGCGCGTCTGGGGTTCGTGTTTATGTCTGCCAGGGTTTCTGATTGGGCGCAGTTTAGATGTGTGATGAGCATCCGCGCGCCGTGGGGCGGGAGCAGCCGTGTTTATAAACCACAGTACGCGCGTCGTGGGCGGGAAGACTGGATTGAGAAAGTAGTGATTCGAGAAAGAGAGGAGTACGCGCGGCAGCGGCGGGCGGCTGTGGCTGACTGGAGATCGTGGAGGAGGCGCGGCTTCCACTGCCCCTCCACTTTAACAGCTGTATGGACGACCACCTCAGCCTCCTCCACTCGCCTCCACCTTTCTCGAGCAAGCACCGGGGCAACAATCTCGTGAACCACGGCTACACAGAAAACGACACTATGACAATTGTTGCATGCGACAACATGCTGGAGGAGTCGGCGGCACTGCCCGGGCACCACTCTCTGGAGCGCTACGAGCCCGACCATGAGTGTTGCGAGAGAGTTGTCATCAACATCTCGGGCTTGAGGTTCGAGACGCAGCTCAAAACCCTGTCCCAGTTCCCCGAGACGTTGCTTGGAGACCCCAAGAAACGAATGCGCTACTTTGACCCACTCAGAAACGAATATTTCTTTGACAGGAATCGCCCGAGCTTCGATGCCATTTTATATTACTACCAGTCAGGGGGTCGTATTCGGAGACCAGTAAATGTCCCTATTGACATTTTCTCCGAGGAGATTCGCTTCTATGAGCTCGGGGAGGAAGCCATGGAGAAATTCAGAGAGGATGAGGGCTTCATAAAAGAGGAAGAGCGCCCTTTGCCCACCAACGAGTTTCAGCGACAGGTGTGGTTGCTGTTTGAGTACCCGGAGAGCTCGGGTCCTGCCAGGGGCATCGCGATCGTCTCCGTGCTGGTCATTTTGATATCAATCGTTATCTTTTGCCTGGAAACGTTACCCGAGTTTCGGGACGACATTGACTCGACGGTCGCGCCGGTTGTAAACGGAACTATCCCGTATCTCACGAGCCCCTTCTCCGACCCGTTCTTTGTGGTCGAGACCCTGTGCATCATCTGGTTCTCGTTTGAGCTGCTGGTCCGGTTCTTCGCGTGCCCTAGCAAAGCCACGTTCTCGAAGAACATCATGAACATTATTGACATCGTTGCTATTATACCATACTTCATCACTTTGGGCACCGAGCTCGCAGAGAGGCAAGGCAACGGCCAACAGGCGATGTCCTTGGCCATTCTCCGGGTCATCAGACTGGTCCGCGTGTTTAGGATTTTCAAACTCTCGCGGCACTCCAAAGGGCTACAAATTTTGGGGCAAACGCTCAAAGCCAGCATGCGCGAGCTGGGCTTGTTGATTTTTTTCCTATTCATAGGGGTTATTCTCTTCTCCAGCGCAGTCTACTTCGCTGAGGCTGACGATCCGGACTCGGGCTTTAACAGCATCCCTGATGCGTTCTGGTGGGCGGTGGTTACCATGACGACTGTGGGATACGGCGACATGCACCCGGTCACCATAGGGGGCAAAATCGTCGGCTCCCTGTGCGCGATCGCAGGTGTGTTAACTATCGCTCTGCCCGTGCCTGTCATCGTGTCAAACTTCAACTACTTTTACCACCGAGAGACTGAGGGAGAGGAGCAGGCGCAGTACCTGCACATCGGCAGCCTCCAGCCTCTGTCTTCCTCCGGGGAGCTGAAGAAGACGCGAAGCACGTCATCGGTCAGCAAGTCGGAGTATATGGTGATCGAGGAAGGCATCAACAGCGCCTTCAAGCAGCCAAACTTCCCCGATCAGAACAACCAAAACTGCGTAAACATTAAAAAGATGTTCACAGACGTGTAGGCTTATTCTAGCGCGCTTCGTGTCAGTGCAAGTCTGCGTGATGGCAAAGCTGTAGGTTCATGTCATGATAGTGCGAGTGTTACCCTCCATTTCCACGACGCAGAGGAATGGGTACATATTTAACCCGTCAGGTTCATACAGTCACCTTTTTGATTGAACCTTTTACTGTGAGGATTAAGCCCGTTTTCTTTTTATTTGCCCATATAGGCTATCACATCAGTATATGGCAAGTCGCTTTAACATTTGAAGAGTTCAGATCTCAAAGCCTCTAATCCCATCTGACATTTTCTTCTGATTTTTTTTTTTCAGCATGTTATGTTTTCTTCAGTTATTTCACCATGAAGGCAAAGAAAGGAACCTGTTAATCACTATAAATAAATTATAAATTAAACTATCAATTTTAGAACAAAATGTCACATGGTATTTAGAGACTCTTGCATCTGAACTAATTTGTTTCTTAAAACTAGTTGCCAGCTTTTAATGCAACACATAGTATTTCATTATTATAAGTTTATATATATATATATATATATATATATATATATATATATATATATATATATATATATATATATATATATATATATATATATAAAT